ATTCAAGGCTCATGATAATGGAATTTTACGGGTTGAGGTTTGGCGTAACAAATTGATCAGGCACGTGCGTCATAAGAAGATTGTATTTTTAGATTAATCAAGCTAAAACTTAATAGTTTGGGGAGGTAGTCATGGGAGAGATAATTTGATACACGTATGGGAATGCAATCAACTTCTAAAGGATGAACAGAAACCGAATGGTGGCTCGGAGGATATTTATCCATTGAAACCAGAAAAGAGTTTGCCGGTAAATTCATTGAATTTTTGCAAATTCGGCTCAGTTTGTGGAGTTGGAGAACGAGAGGAGATTCTGGTAGCAATCCCTAGTGTTACGGAGTCCTCTGCTGTAAGTTTATTTTGGTCGACGTGTTTTTTTCGCATGATCGCGTTAATTGTCTCATGTTAATGCCGTTACTAGATTGATATTTGGAATCTTTCGAATCAACGATTAATTACATCTTCGATTGGACTTGATCAGAAGCGAGAAAGAGGTTTTTTGCCTTTAATTTATTTTTAATGTGTCGCGCATTTGCCTTTAACTACTTCTTTTTCAAAGGCTATTGCATGGCCTTGAAGTTCTTTCGGAATCTCAATAGTCAAGATTCTTTGTCGACCAACTATTTGATACTAGCAGCTTATGAAAATGGTAGTGTTGTCTTGTGGTCGGTAAAAATCGGCAAGAATGATTCACCATTAGGAGATGATGAAGAAATTGTTATTACTAACCAGTTGTGGAGTCGCAAAGAGCATATTGAAAGTGGTACGTAAAAATTTGTGTCGAGTTGTCCTATTCTAAAATATAAAAAGTTTTGCACACGTTTTTTCAATTTAGCTTTAGGCCTTGATGTCTCGGTTGATAAAAAATTTGCCATATCTACAGCTGGAGATAATAAAATTGTCAAATACATTTTTGATGATGAGGTATTCTTTCTAAGTTCTGCGGTGTTGGTTAAACGCATTAAACACAAGCTCTTATAATCTTAGAATTACCGAGCCGAACCACTGATCAAAAGTACAACAATAAAGCATTCTGGAATAGCAGATGTAAAGATTCGATCCGACGGAAAAATCTTTGCCACAGCTGGATGGGATACAAAGTATGTCGTAAATAAGCCTGTTTTTCTCGCCTTATCATATCTATTGAATGCCACCAATATTATAATCTTCAACAATAAGGATTCGCATATTTTCTTCAAATTCCTTGAAACCATTAGCAATACTATCCTACCACCGGGAAAGTGTTTATGCACTAGCATTTTCCAAAGTTTTCGAACAAGAAGACGAAATTTCAAAAAGTAAATCAAAGGATAAAGAAGCTGATGACGGAACTGTACAAGAGCAGCTGCAACAATTCACTAACCATTGTCTAATTGGAGGCGGCAAAGATCATAGAATTAGTTTATGGGAAATCTATTAATTATTATAATCTACCTTCTTGATATATAACGCCGAAATCCATAATTTTATAAATAATTCCTCTTTCTCAATACATATTGATCGCTCGTGATCAATTCAGTGTGTAAATGCAATGCATGCTATAATGTTATTCGTCTTTTTTTATATCGCGATATTCGGCTTCGATTATATCTGGTGGTTTTGATGTTTTGTATTGCTGATAATTATCGAATCCTCCTAGCGGTATATCGAGATATTCTCCCGTATGTGCCCAGTATATACTAATATTCTCCACATTACCAAAATCCAAGCTTCCCTTCACTCTAATTAACGATCTTCTACCGTTCTTTCCAGTCGCCCAATACTCAATTTCTGCATAACTATGTTTTTTGAAGGCTCCAATGGTTCCAAACCCCAGTGATTGCGATGACACCGAATGTGGCGTCAAAAATCTTATTGAAGACGAGGATGAACCACCGTACTGATTTTTAAGATCATCATAACCACTGTCATAAGCCATTTGGATTTGTTTAACAGATAAAGTGTACAATCTATCGATCGCGTCTTGCATATTTCCGGAAGTTCTGGAGAACAAAGAAACTGGCGACCAAAATGAAATCCAATCCTGAGACATGGGAAATAGCGAATTATTCTTGGTCGCATAGTACATATTATGTGGTGGCCAAATTAAATTCAAAGTCGATTTTATAAGTTTGTAGGCAGCGAAGGCAATTATTCCATTTATCAAAACATTCGATCTGAGGTACCAAAAGGTAAAGGCTGCTCCACCTAATGCTATAATTTTTTTTAGATTCTCGTTCTCTGGAGGTGTGTACGGCGTGTTACTATAGAAACGGACTGCATTTGTACGATCGATTGCATGGTGAGCAGTAAATTCCACATGAAAGCGTGCAAAGGAGGAAAACGGCTTTGGAAAGAATTTAGATGGGATGGTGAGCGACTTCTCAGAATGCAATACAGAGTGAGAAAATCCTTACGCAAGTAATCGAGTGATCTTATATCAGTAATGGTGTATGGAGATTTCAAGAAAAAAAGATAAATATACCTTTATTTAGTCGATTGCAAAACCGCGATATCCTAAATGCGGAGTAGAATTGACGGTTATAAAGTAATCGAGCGTTCATGGTTGGATCAAAAACGAGAAACGCAGTTATTGTATTAAACCCGATTTTCATTAAAAAGATACATGTAACAAATTTATAATCTACCACGGGTCACATACCCTTTTTTTATTTTAATTTTAATTTTTATTTCGTAAAAAAGGACATACAGTATATTAAATATTTAAGAATCTATTGTTATCTTTTCTTAACTATTTGAGAAACTTAACTATCTTGATTTGATTTTTTTTTAATATTATCTGTTGAACTATTGTCTATAGAAACTTTTACTTAATACAACTTGTAGAAGTTAATGTCTTAATCTAATTGAAATAATAAAATTCTTTTATTGTCAAAAACTATTGAAATAATAAAAAATAATAAAATCTTATTATTAATTCGTAATTAGTATTAGATAAGAGCTTTAATTTTTTTAAGTTTACATAATGTAGTAAAAATTCTTTCTGCAAGAAGTTTTTATACTTCTTTACTAATAAAGTCTTAATACTTTCCTTAAAACAACTTGAAGTATGCTGCAAGAGTTATTTTTAC